GGGGGGGGGGGAAGAGGCTCAGTGGCTGTTGGGAAACAGGCTGCGTGAGCTGCTGCGCTGAGGAAGCATTTCTTGGAAAGCCACACGCGCGCTCCGTCACGCAGCCCTCCCCCCCCCCCCCCTCAACTCTTTACATAAGTGGGGGCGAGGTGGGCTCCCGAGCCCCCTGGGGGAGGCGGGGAGGCAGCTGAGATTTCGGGGAAGGCGGCAGCAGCAGCAGCAGCACCAGTGGCGGTCCACCCATCGGCCGCCCTGCAGAGGGGCAGCCCTGGAGATGCAGCGGAGGAGGGGGCGGCAGGGGGCTCGCCCGCTCCCACATGCCATGCCGCCTCACCCGCCCCGCGCCCTCTCCCCGCTGCATTTCAAGGGGCCGGGGGGGGGGGGCTGGCTTGCTCGCTCCCCTTTGCTCTGGCAGGGAGAGAAGATCTTCTCGGCTGGAGCCAGGAATGCGGGGAGCTCGCCCCACCCCGTGGGCAGAGAACGATGATGATTCCGAGGGGGCACCACGTGCGAAGGGAAGAGGCTACGCCGGGCAGCTCGGGCATCGTCCCCACCGCCCCAAGGACCCCAAGCCAGCCGGTGGGCACAGCCTCAACCGAGGGGAGGCTCCAAGAAGAGGAGGAGCTGGACGGAAGCGGGGGAGGCCGAAGGGCCAGGAGGGAGAAGGAGCAAGCCCCCCCCCCGGCCTTAGCCTAAACAACTGCACCCCAGGCCAGCGGGTTGCCAGGGGACCCCCAGGTGTGCCTGGGCGGCTTCTGGGAAAGCAAAGGAATCTCTCCCCTTACCCAGTGAGCTTCACTGCCGCATAACGTGGCACCGGCCACTAGTGGGAATGAGCAAGAGCCCCCCGTGGCTCTCAGCTGCGCCGGGCCCGAAGGGGGTGGACGAGGAGAGAGGCCGACTGGGGACTGAGAGAGACGAGGCTGACGGGGGAGCCAGCCCCGCCCCATCATTGCACCCCCCCCCCCCGGTGCCAATCAGAGTCCCACAAGCCGCCTGACCCGACAGCCCCCCAGTCCTGGCTGCCACCTGGGACGGAAGCTCCACCGAGCACCCACAATGCCAAGCAGGGCCCTGGCTCCTCGCTGCTCTCTGACCTTGTAGTGACAAAACCTCTGCAGGGAAGCAGCCGGTTCGGCCTGGAGCCCGGCAAGCCATCCCGCTGGGCCGGAGCGTTTCCGTGGGCCTCTGACCGGCTGCCCCCCCCCTCCAATCGCTCCCAACATCCACAAGCCCCGTCCAAAGTCACTGCCCCAGAAGCTGCCAACCCAGCCAGGCAACGCCCCGGCCTGGGTTCAAGGCCGCGCCCACGAAGAGCTGCGTGGCCCTCCCAGGGTAACCTGGGGGCTGATTCACGCTCCGCCTGCCCATCGGCAACTCTCGGGAAGCAGCCCAGAAGGACCCTGGGGGTCTCCCTCCCCCTCTCCGACACCCTTAGCAACTCCAGACTCCTTCCTCCACAAAACGGACCTTGAGGTCACCCAGGAAGGACAACAGCCAGCCCGAAAGGGAGGCCCCTTCCTGGGCTGACGTGGCCACTCCACGTCCTGAGGCTCCAGGCCAGCTCCTGGGTCTCCCTGAGACCTCTCCCCCCGGCTGGCTCTCCAGAGAAAGGCCTCCACTGGGCCTCCCCAGCCTGGAGCCCAGTTTAAGGAGGTTCACGGTCAGAAGCACAGAACAACAGAGTGGGAAGGGACCCTAGAGGTCTTCTAGTCCAGCCCCCTGCTCAAGCAGGGGACCCCAGGCCACTACCGAGCAAAGCAGCTCTCTAGGCGGCGCCAACAGCCCCTTCAGAGAAGCCAGGATTGCAGCCCCCCTCCCCGAGCCCAGGGGAGGAAAGCCCCCCTCCCCACCCCAT